CTTTCCCTGTGCTCCTACAAGAAATGTTTGTTGACCTTAGTGGAGATACGATGGGCAGTGTTTGTTTCTACTTTTATTTTTTAGGACTTATCCTTCCTTGCCATCTTTTTAGTTTTTCTTAATATGTTTTGTATGGATTTTTGTTTCCAGTATCACCAGTAAATTACACAGTTAGTGCATAGATTGCTGAGGCTCTTTAAACTGTGGGTGAGGTGTTGGTATGAAACAACACACTTTTAAGATAAATTTAGCAGTAAGTGAACTTAGCAGAAAAAAACGAGTAAGCAAAGACCATGAATTGCGCTATCCCTTCTCCACCAAAAAAGGCCAATACGATGTTTTAGACTGTCTTAATGAAAACATGAGGCCAGCTTTTGATCAGCTCAACCCCATAGGATTCATTTAAAGTGACAAAGATGCCAGCAGTAATTATGGCAGAATCATGAGTGGCCCCAAGGTGGGGCTCCTGAGGGAAGGTGTTTCCTCAAACCAGTGAACATGACCATTCCCGTCTCCCAACAAGGCCGAGCGGCCGTGTGGGCATAAAGTACGTAGCAGTGAACGGACCCACCAGATACCCACCTTTACCGGGATGCAACCCAGTGAGAACAAATCATATTTATAAAAATTAAATGATGAGCTAAGTCCTGATCTTAACTGTGTCTGACTCGACCCTATTTCTGGTTCTACCCTGAGTCTCCTGCCCCCCTAATGGTAGCAGATGGAACACTGGAACCAACTGGCTCCATAAACGGAGCAGCCAGAACGTGCTTCCAGGTAGAAGAGGCTCCCTGTCCCAGCCTTGTTCTGAGGTGACCGGAAGCACTGATCAGAACTGAAATGGATCTGTTGAGTTGTTTGTGCAGAAGTGACTCAAATCTGGGCTTTTCCTTTTCCTCTAGGTATGGCCTCACATGTGCAAGTTTTCTCCCCTCACACCCTTCAATCAAGTGCCTTCTGTAGTGTGAAGAAACTGAAAGTAGAGCCGAGTTCCCACTGGGACATGACTGGGTACGGCTCCCCCAGCAAAGCGTATAGCCACAGCAAGAACATACCACCTTCTCAGCCAGCCGCCACAACCGTCAGCACCTCCTTGCCAATCCCAAACCCAAGCCTACCTTACGAGCAGACCATCATCTTCCCAGGAAGCACCGGGCACATAGTCGTAACGTCAGCAAGCAGCACTTCTGTCACTGGGCAAGTCCTCGGCGGACCACATAACCTAATGCGTCGAAGCACTGTGAGCCTTCTTGACACCTACCAAAAATGTGGACTCAAGCGTAAGAGCGAGGAGATTGAGAACACGAGCAGCGTGCAGATCATCGAAGAGCATCCACCCATGATTCAGAATAATGCCAGTGGGGCCACTGTAGCCACTGCCACCACATCGACTGCCACCTCCAAGAACAGTGGCTCCAACAGCGAGGGCGATTACCAGCTGGTGCAGCATGAAGTGCTGTGCTCCATGACCAACACTTACGAAGTGCTGGAGTTCTTGGGCCGAGGGACATTTGGGCAAGTGGTCAAGTGCTGGAAACGGGGCACCAATGAAATCGTGGCCATCAAGATCCTGAAGAACCACCCGTCCTATGCCCGACAGGGTCAGATCGAAGTGAGCATCCTGGCCCGGCTGAGCACCGAGAGTGCCGATGACTACAACTTCGTCCGGGCCTACGAGTGCTTCCAGCACAAGAATCACACGTGCTTGGTCTTTGAGATGTTGGAGCAGAACCTCTATGACTTTCTAAAGCAGAACAAATTTAGCCCCTTGCCCCTCAAGTACATTCGCCCAGTCCTCCAGCAGGTAGCCACAGCCCTGATGAAACTCAAAAGCCTGGGTCTTATCCACGCTGACCTGAAACCAGAGAACATCATGCTGGTAGACCCGTCTAGACAGCCTTACAGAGTCAAGGTCATCGACTTTGGTTCGGCCAGTCACGTGTCCAAGGCTGTGTGCTCCACCTACTTGCAGTCCAGATATTACAGGTAAGACTGTGGGTGCGAGGGCCATCGGGAGAGGCTGACTGCTCAGTGACATCTCCGAGAACGTGCAAAATCACACGTCAGCGGTCGCTGCCCGCCAGTCATCCCACTTTGGTCGGGAGATTAGAATGTGTGTACATCGAAATGACAGTTAAAAGCTGTGTAAGAAGAAGCCAAGTAGGGTTCCTGGGGAGATGTTCAGAGTTAGAGGGGATCCCCAGGAGTTGGGGTGAGAACAGTGAGGACAGATGTGTGGCCAGAACAGAACTTGTGAGTAGTGGAAGCTGTGGTTGGGAGGATCGGTTGGGACTTCGTGTTGGGGGTTTTAAATACCCAACGGAGGACTTGAACTGTGTACCTAGATCTGGAGCAAGCTCTAGAAACTTTGAATGAAGGCTACCAGGATGGAGAGGATCACTTTTACATCCATGAGCAAAGGGCTAGAGGAGAGGAGAGATTGTCTGGGGGCCGGTCGTCTCTCTATGGTGAGATCACTCAGGATAATGGGGAACTGCAGTGCCCTTGGAAGGGAAACGTGAAGTATTCCGCCATTCACTCAGACCTCTAGTCATTCAGCAAGCGTTTGCCTCTCTCACCTGAGCCAGGCGCAGTGCTGGGTACAGGGCTACGGACAAGGCCCTCGGCTCCTGGGTGCTCAGCACGCTGATTCTCAACCCTGGCTGCACTGAAAGCTGGGTGAGCTTGTAAAAATAACCTTACTTGGGTCCCAGGTCTCACATGACGCCGGCATCTCTGGGGTGGGCTCAGGCAGGAGGGGCTTTGCCAGATTTCCCCAGGGGCCCCAGTTCCAGTAGGGGTTGAGACTTGTGGTTCTGGGAGGGTGAGAGGAAAGTCAGGAATACCAGTCTCTGCTCACTAACCCGAGTGACCTGGGCCTGCTGTCTGGTTTCTCTGCATCTTTATTTCCTGACCGTAAACTGGGGGATCCTATCCCCAGCTTGTGGGCTGGTGGGGGTGACGGAATTCAGTAGCACAGCCCGGGGGCCCACTTCATGGCCAGCCCGGCAGGCGCACAGAAGGAGGTGGAGGAAATTAAAAGCAGGTGAATCCACAATATGGAAGCCATGATGGGCTATGTGAGGGGATGTTGGACAGGCCAGTGAAAAATGGAAGTTGAAAGGATCGAAGCTCAAACTCCCCTGGTAGGACCAATACCTGCTGAGAAGCTGAGCGATCGGCAGTAAAACCAGAGCACCAACTCACTTTGTGCCCGCCCCCCGGCCATGGACCTGCTTTCTCCACGCTGCCCTCAGGACCACTGAGGGCCTGGCCAACATGCCGAAGCCGCGGGTCACAGCTGACCTAGTCCCCACTCGGAGGCTGACCTGCACTGGCTCCCCTTGCTCATCTGGCTCCCACTCCTCCCATCCCTGTCCTCCAGGAACCCTCAGCCTGCTGGCCTCATGCCCCCTGTCCTGAGAGAGCAGTGGCTGCAGGACAGAGGTGCCCAGGTCCCTCTCACCATCTTGCCCGCCTCCTTGCACCTTGGTCCTAACTCAGACTAGGAGGCTTTGAGGCCTCTCCCTGTGCCACTTCTCGCCCTCCCCTCTGCTTCCTCCAGGGGGTCCCCGAGTTAGAGCAGCTCTGAGGAGCCTTCTAAGTTCAGATGTGCATGTGGCTCCATGAGGGATGGATCTGCCTCTGCTGACCCGGTTTCCTCTCACACACTCCCTTCTGAGCCTTTGGGGCCAGAAGGTGGCACGGTGGTTAAGGCACTGGACTCCCACATGGTCAACCACGATTCACGTCCCAGAACCGGTGGCTTACTTTTTCACTTTCCCTCTCTCCTTCTGTCTCTGGTCAAAATAAAAAATAATAATAATAAATGCATAAAATTAAATAAATAATTCTTTATAAATTTAAATAAATGAGGAAGGCACTTTTCATCAGAGCTAAATGAGGGGAAGAAGTGAGCCCAACTCTGGGGACCCAAGGAAGGTGGGTCCTGGAAAGCAAGAGGCCTGTGGTGCCTCCTCCCATCCAGACGGGTTGGGGGGGAGTCTGGGGTCAGCACCAGCTGCGGACCTCAGGGCTTCTCTTCAGAGAGCACCTACTTGGGCAGGCCCCAGGCTCCCAGCTGAGGGGAGGCTGGTGCCCGGGCAGCCTCGCACTCATGTCCTGCTGGAGGAGGCCGCCATCGCTGCCGCGTTAGATTTAGGTTTGGCAGCTCTGCAGGCCGAGAGCTGTTTCTTCCCAGGTGTTGGCCTGATTTCCGGGTGGACTGAACTGCCGTCACCGGGGCTGCTCAGGTGTTTGTTTAGTTAGCCTGCTTTACTGTTGCGTGCCATTGTAGTAACGCCTACTAAGAATGGACTTGTAAAAAGATTCTCAAAAGCTATGGTCCAGGGCCAGTCTGGTAGCATCATGGTTAAGCTCTGGGCATTGGGAACCAATCACAGTTTGAGTCCTGGCCCTAGAGGCTTGAAAAACATGCCAGGCTCACGAGCATCTATGCCTGACACCCAGACAGAAAGGAGAAATGGGGTAAAGAGAGTGGCGTGACCATGCCCCAGAGGGGCATCTCCTGCGCCCCCTCCCCAGCCCCGTGTGCACATGTACCCTTTGGCAATAAAAACAATTGCGTAAAACTATATTTGAAGGATGTGCATCCTTGAGAAAACGATGCATCGAGTAAGTTGAATTGGGGATTCTTAAAGGCCTTTCTTACTGGCCCCTTCTTGTGCCCCTGTGGCACCTTCTGCATGGACTCTGCAGTTTTACTTGCTTTCCTGTCTGTCCTTGACCTGGTACTGGGGAGACTGAGGTCACAAAATCAGGGACCCCAGCTCCGGAAGTCCGTGAGAGTCGGGGGAAGATCTGAATCCCTAACTGGACTGCAACTATCCTGTCCCCACCCAGCTCTATGACAGGCATGGTGGGTGTTGAAGACTGACTTGCTGATGGTCGCGGGGCCCTTGTGAGCTCTTCTCCATCTGTCACTTCATGACAGGCACAGTCACATCCGGCCCCTGCACCCCGTGTCCTTCTGAAGTGCCCTCCCTGTGGGTGCGACAGTATCCCCTCCCATCCAAGCAGGGTGGCCTCTTCCTCTTCCTGGTCACTTTGACCTTCTGACCTCCACGTCCATGTGACCGCCCTCTTTAAGCCCAGCTGTGGTGACAAGGGCACGGTTGACATGGAAGGCGCCAGCTCTTCTGCCTGAAATGAAGCCGCATTTCTAAGTTGGTCACCGTGGTCCGTTTCTCTCAGGGCCTCCTCTGAGCCCTGTAGGAGTCACCTCCACACGGGTCCATCCCAGTTTTTGAGGACAGTCCTTGGCTCTCAGGTCCACGGGCCCCAGTTAGGTGGACAGCCAGCTCTAGGCCACATTTATCCGCCTGATTTTCCTGATTGCTTTGCCTCTTGCTTGGCATGGAGGACCGCCATGGCCATGGGATGGGGTTCCTCTGCAGTGCCCAGGCGCTGTGCTAGGGCTGGCCCCACTGTCACCACTGTGCAAGGCAGGCCTGGTGTGTTTTTTAGGAAACAAAAGCTGCTTTTTTTAAATTTTACTTTTATTTATTTATTTTTGAGTCTGATGCAAGGGTACCCCCTTCTAATGTGACCTTTCAACTGGAAGGTCAGTTATAGGCATTGCTGCTGCCGGTCAGGCCTTACTGTGCCTGAGAATCACCTGGACAGCTTGTTAAGGGCAGATTTCTGCCACTCCTGTCCCAGACCTACCACACCAGACTCTGCCAGGCTCACGAGCATCTATGCCTGACACCCAGACAGAAAGGAGAAATGGGGTAAAGAGAGTGGCGTGACCATGCCCCAGAGGGGCATCTCCTGCGCCCCCTCCCCAGCCCCGTGTGCACATGTACCCTTTGGCAATAAAAACAATTGCGTAAAACTATATTTGAAGGATGTGCATCCTTGAGAAAACGATGCATCGAGTAAGTTGAATTGGGGATTCTTAAAGGCCTTTCTTACTGGCCCCTTCTTGTGCCCCTGTGGCACCTTCTGCATGGACTCTGCAGTTTTACTTGCTTTCCTGTCTGTCCTTGACCTGGTACTGGGGAGACTGAGGTCACAAAATCAGGGACCCCAGCTCCGGAAGTCCGTGAGAGTCGGGGGAAGATCTGAATCCCTAACTGGACTGCAACTATCCTGTCCCCACCCAGCTCTATGACAGGCATGGTGGGTGTTGAAGACTGACTTGCTGATGGTCGCGGGGCCCTTGTGAGCTCTTCTCCATCTGTCACTTCATGACAGGCACAGTCACATCCGGCCCCTGCACCCCGTGTCCTTCTGAAGTGCCCTCCCTGTGGGTGCGACAGTATCCCCTCCCATCCAAGCAGGGTGGCCTCTTCCTCTTCCTGGTCACTTTGACCTTCTGACCTCCACGTCCATGTGACCGCCCTCTTTAAGCCCAGCTGTGGTGACAAGGGCACGGTTGACATGGAAGGCGCCAGCTCTTCTGCCTGAAATGAAGCCGCATTTCTAAGTTGGTCACCGTGGTCCGTTTCTCTCAGGGCCTCCTCTGAGCCCTGTAGGAGTCACCTCCACACGGGTCCATCCCAGTTTTTGAGGACAGTCCTTGGCTCTCAGGTCCACGGGCCCCAGTTAGGTGGACAGCCAGCTCTAGGCCACATTTATCCGCCTGATTTTCCTGATTGCTTTGCCTCTTGCTTGGCGTGGAGGACCGCCATGGCCATGGGATGGGGTTCCTCTGCAGTGCCCAGGCGCTGTGCTAGGGCTGGCCCCACTGTCACCACTGTGCAAGGCAGGCCTGGTGTGTTTTTTAGGAAACAAAAGCTGCTTTTTTTAAATTTTACTTTTATTTATTTATTTTTGAGTCTGATGCAAGGGTACCCCCTTCTAATGTGACCTTTCAACTGGAAGGTCAGTTATAGGCATTGCTGCTGCCGGTCAGGCCTTACTGTGCCTGAGAATCACCTGGACAGCTTGTTAAGGGCAGATTTCTGCCACTCCTGTCCCAGACCTACCACACCAGAATCTCCAGAGGAGCCCCCCACACC